AACTCTTATTCAAGTTATGACAAGTTTTTCTAGAAAATGAACTTTTTATCTATCATTAAATAATACTTGTTGACTGTGTAAGTTTTAGCTAAGAGTTATGGATGGAAAATAATTGAAAACTGTAAATATAATAAAGGACGTCATCCCAGTTGACAATGGATTTTTGGCAACGTCGAGTGAATAACTAAATATTTATTCAATAAACCAGTCCTGCATTGATCGTCTAAAACTTTGTTTCGTATAATTAATAAAACTAGGCTCTACAGTTATATTATATTAGATCGATAGGTACTTTTTAACTGTCTCAGTGAAGGAGAATATAAACATTTGACTGTGAACCACAGGATGAATTTTATCGATCCAGATAGTGGTACACACTCAAAATATCGAATACTATGGCATATAACAGAATCCATTATTTTACGATATGAGAGCGTCATACAGGTTATAACGTAGTGTCGAATTTTGGTTTTGTTATGTATAGTAGAAGTGTGATTTTAATACAGGAATTGCTGCATTTTTCTAACTTTTATTTATAATTATGAGAATAATTAATTATCGAGAATTAATCCAAGGGTAACTCAGTTATAAAATTATTTTTGCGAATATCACAAAAACGGAGACCATACGGCGGCAATATGTAGGTATAGAGACAAAATAATCAGAAACGAAATCTTAACAACACATTTCAAGGTCACAAAATAGGCGAGGAATCGTCACAGTACATAAGTACTATTATTTTTTCTAACCAATTATCGAATATACTTCTTTTTCTTACTATAAACGAAATATCCTATATTTCGTGAATTGCGTGAAAATCGATTCATTATGTTAACTTTTGTAGCTGTAGATAAAATCTGTAACTTCACGCTATGAAAAATGGCATATGATATTTTTTAGAAATAACGGAGTTAATGTGTCATTTTTTGTAAAAATGAATTATGTTACTTTTTGTAACGCATGTCCTTTTGTATTATACATATTACCTATAATGTATATGTATACAAAATTCTATGGTTTTCGGAAAAGAGAAAACAACTTCAGTGACTATCTTTAAAATTTTAACAACCATTCTTACTAAAATGGTATTAGATAAAATGTTAATTTACAAAAAGTTCTTCCCATCAATTTCGAAAAGTGAAAAATGTTTTCTCTTATAAATGTTATCATCACTTACCTTTAGTTTTCTAGGTATATTAGAAAATTTTTTCAAATTTTTATCCCAATTTAAATTAAGTGTCTTTTAATTTTGCATTAAGTTGGACTATAGAATTACTTTGAAATCACATTATTGTAATTTGTTCGTCTGAGAAAATTGAATTAAAACCAATATCAATCTTACATACAAATAAAGACAGCTTGATTTCAAATCAAAAACGTTCTTATTTTTTAAATTTCAATTATAAGAAATTGACAAAGTTAAACAAAATATTTTAAATTAGCCCAATCCTTCATGAATAAAACAAAAAAAATTTAGCTAAATCGGCTGAGTAGTTTCTGAGAAAAAATTCCTAAGTGAACCCTATTTTTGTCAAAATGGACAAAAATTACAAACGTTGAAGTCTTGCCATTCCTTAACAAATTCGAAACCGGCAAAATGTTGATTTAAACTTCCCTTAATTTCACATGGACTACGACATATTTCGATTAGAGCAAAATCGGAGATGGTGACAGGGACTACAACATATTTCGATTAGAGCAAAATCGGAGATGGTGACTTCCAAAAGTGATCGATTTGACATGGAATGTCCCTAGTCTGAACTGTTTATAGCTCGTAACTACGTTAACCGATTTCGATGAAAGGGTATAGTTGGATAAGTGCCCTTAAATCAAATGCGACGAGTGATATATTATTCGATACCTTATCAAGATAAAGTAATTTTAAGAAAAAAAATACATCGACTTCGAAATGCACTAAAAAGTATAAAATAATTTCTATTTCATTCAATCATACAATTACGTCATAGATACGAGGTGTGACACAAAAGTAACGAGACTAGGTCTGTAACTTGAAAAAACAATGGAATTAGCAGCAATTGTTTTTGTGGCATCATCCCACATACCTCCTCTATCCATGTTGCCAATTTCGATTGAATCAGTCATACCATTTGGAAATATTGCGTTATTTAGTGAACACGTGCAACTGCATTCTGCCGGAAAAATGTCTAACGTAAAAACCGAACAGCGAATAAACATCAAGTTTCTTGTAAAATTTGTTGAAATCTTTTGTAACATGTGATGAGACATGTATTTTTACCTATGACTCACAAAGTAAGCGCCAGTCGATGCAATGGAAGTCTTCAGGATCCCCAAAATCCAAAAAAGAACGCATGTCAAAATCAAAATTCGACATTAATGGAATTGTAATGATTGAGTGGTTTCCCAGTGGTCAGACTGTTAACTAACACTATTACATTGAAATACTAAAAAGACTTCGTGAAAAAATTAGGAAAAAAAGGCCACAGTTGTGAAGCGATGGATGGCTATTGCTCCGGGACAAAGCACCCGCTCACACGTAAAGTTAAATTTTGCTTAAAGGGAACCCATTTCACCTCAGTTGAAGAGGTTCAGGCAAAAACGGAGAATCGTCCGAAAGGACTTCCAAAAACCTCGTTCCAGAATTGTTACCAGCAATAGCAGCGCCGAATGCATAAGTGTGTGAATGCTGAAGGGGACTACTTTGAAGGTGATAATGTCACGGAGAACTGATTCTGCAGGTAGAATGATTTATTGGACTAGTCTCGTTACTTTTGTGTCACACCTCGTATGAATAGAACCTATTTACTCGTTAGGTAGTATATTAAATACATCTCAAACTTTTCGGAGGCGGCGCAAAATTAAAAGATTTTCTTGAACATGTCAACCTTTGGACAGCCGAACATAGGCAAAGCTTGTATAGCTATTTTTTTTTCT